TTGGTAGGAAGTGAAAGTGGCTACGGGCCCATTCTACAGACGTAATCTATAAGCAAGGAATTAATCTTGTGAGCTTAAGTCGCGGATGGTAGGGGCGTTGGCGGAAATTTCTTTCGGAGGTGGCACCACCATGATTAGAGTTGGGCTCCCGCAGGCAGACGTGGTATACCATTATTTTGTGCGCATATAACATGAAAAGTTTTTGGGGGCGGAGGGAGAGGGGGGCATTGGTTTGGTGTGCCAGCCACTAGTGTATAGACGTAGGGTACACACACGGGGTCGGACATCCGGGGCGGAAGATGGTGGTGGCGCAGACTGCGGTAAAGGTTGCCTTGGCAAGAGAAGTAAGCTTCAACAACAAAGGCTAGAGCGGCACATGTATGACGTAAGAAAGATGGTGTCGTCAAACGCGCTGGCCGAACACGCAGAAGCAACTGGCCACGAAACAGACCGTAATAGGGTGAAAATAGCGAAAATGAAGGGAAAAGAATCGGACTTCCGGGCTATCTTGACACTCTAAGAATTCAGAGAACGGCGCATATTTTTTAATGCAATAACGGCAACTTCCTCCCACATGTACGCTCCTACGTTCATTTTAAATATACCTATTCGGACCGTTTGCACATTCTATTTTTGTTGTGAACGAGGCTCCCGTGCGGAAATTCAAACTATCTGTCTTTATGGGAACATTCATGGTCTCTGCTCATTGTAACCCCATGGGCTCTAAATAACAGCCACAACAATGAAGAAAGAGAGAGGTGACAGCGGCACTGCCGGTGGTCGCGACAGTGGCACCGCATACGCAGCGAACTGTGACACGCCTCCGGTAACTTTTTTGCTGTGACTTTTCACATTGCGTAGTCTGCAGAATTCCGCGCAGATGGGCAATACAACGCTGTTAAAAAGTGAAAACTCCACGAAGTTGCCGTAAAAAACAACTCATGCAACCGCCAGCTTTCCTTCGTCAAAGCAAGGCGAGATCACGTGATCCAACCCTGCATGTCACAGCGATTGCAGCGCTCATGCCTCTTATGGTGGGCCTGGCGCCCGTATCGAAAATTCTCGATTCCACCATATATGATGCCGCCGTGGCCTGGAATTGTTTCCGCAACCTTCAGATTAGCAGTCGAGAATCGTAGCCATTACATCACAGTAGCGGGCACATGTGGTACGAGTTGTAATCTCTTTTACCATAGATCGCCCGGGAGCTTATCGTTAAAGGCTGATTAGATCACCAGCTTGCGACAATGAAATGGCTGTCCAGTGTACGCCCACGATATGGCCACGATGCTCGACCTCCCTGTTCCGTGATGGGGATAGCCAGGATGACGCATTCCCGTCATGTACAGGCACTGCGCGCTGACGTCACTCCCTCCCTCGCCTGCCACTCGCTCCCCCCGACGCGACGCCACTCACGCCTGCTCTTAAGAAACGCAGGTTGCGGGCGATTAAATCTATTAGGTGGCGTATTGCCCCTGTCACAAATTTTCCCCATTTTTTGTCAGGTAGTCGCAGTCATAACAACAAAAAAAAGTCTCTTATTCGCCATTTGGGTCCTTACTACACTTCGCACTACACTACACGTGTCCTGCTATTTTCGTTTATATCTCTTCGTTATGACGCAACTTATGTAGGTAGCGGCAATCCAGCAAGACCGAAGTTGTTTATAGCCAAACAGATATGCACAGGTACGTTATTTTCAGCGCACGTGTAAGGGCACAGAAATTGGGTAAACCCACTGCTAAGTGCTGGTCCACGAACGTGATGCGCAACGGAGAATATACGTAGTGGAGACAACATGCATGCTGCTGAAATGACTGCTTCATATCGTGCTCAAAACACTAGGTGATCTATCCTGCAAGCTAGAGCAATGTCACCACAAAAATATTGATGCTGCTCAAACGTAAATCTTTAAGGGAGATGCGCTATATTGGATAGGGGTGTTCCTAGCTTCATGTGTACCTTTAATAGAAATTGTGTGCCTTTCTGTACCTTTAGTCGATATTTAGCGACAACTCTGTCGATTGTGCTAGAGAGCTAGATACTTCGCTGGTCATCCGCCTCCACTTGGTTGAGGGGATCCGTCATGACACCAGTGCAAAACATTGTGGCTGTCCCTTTGAGCTTCACTGTTGGGTCATCTCCACACAGTGTGAGGACGATGATTTAGAAAAAAAAAGTGAAATTCCAGTCTGCCGTTTGAACACGTCTCTTTAAAAACGCTGTTCCAAGCGGTCGAGTTTTGCCGAGACTTAAATATTGTCGCGATTCCTTGTTTGCGAAAACAAAATTTCGGTTGCGTATCGTAATTCAATACAAATATTTTAAAGCATTGTAATTTTTGTCTTTAATTTATAAGTTTCGCAATTATTGGGTGGGTTATAAAACTGGAAATCGGGCAGTTATTTGTTTTGCAGAATAATGCGATGGGATTCGTGCACCAATGGCTTGCGTTACACGCTGAATATTCCACTATAGAATCGTATTGTCATTGATGATCTACTGTTCTTTGAGTCACTGTTTGAGGGCTTAGGAAATTTCTCGCAAATAATTACAAAAAGACAACTGGTAGTGTGCAAAATACGACAAAAATACTCTATTTAGAACACAAAATGACTAGTGCAAGAGAGAAAATGTGCAAACCCCAGTAACAACGCTAGAATGTGAGAAAAAAATCAATTCAAAAGGCACGTCTTAAAGAAATCACGGACAGCCAACAGTGAATATCCTGACATTCGGAAATGAATCTTCATTACTGTGTACAACTTACCTGTAAGATATGATGTCCTACCATAGAGTTGTTTAATCCGTATTTATCGAAGTAGAGGACGAGGGCTGTGTTATGTGTACGTTTTCAGGTGTAGGCGGTGTTTTAAAAAAAACCTAACCTAGCGTTTTCGGCGGAAATGATACAGTATCATCTATTCCTACCCGATTCTACTCAAAACCACCTGCAGTTTAGCAATGTTTTGAACTCACATGTTGCATACGTTCATTGTGGCGTTGCAAAAGGTGAGGTCAGCCTGACTTAAACTGTTGGCATTACGCGTTCTGGTAAAGGAATTGCACGAAATGGCTGCCACTTCGATTGAGGACGTTTCAGACTTCAACGGTATTCCAAGCGAACTTGGTATAATCGTAAGATGACGACGATTTCTAAACGCCACCATATACAATGTGCATATGTGACAAGTTGCGGATGCACCTGTGTTGCTTATTTCAGCCGAACGCTGATGCGGTATACACATTTCCTAGCTTAGAACACAGCGCGATAATTTCGCTGATTGCCACTGCTAGAGTGAGCTCTGATAACGTGAACGTACGAACAACCTACTCCTTCACAATCTGTCCCGTTGAAACGATAAAACGAAATGAGAGTGATGCACAAGATAGATGTTATAAAAAAAAAACGTGCTTCAGTTTTTATCTTATACCATAGAATCAAGAGGAAAGTTTATAAACAATATCAAATGAAGTGTTATTACTCTCGCCGTTTGGTTCTCGATGTGGGCCTCTATTCTCAATACTCTTTCTCCAAACCAAATTCAGTAAAGCTTTGTGGCCACGAGAACCCCAATGGCGTTTACTTAGTGCCATCGAACCCATAACTTTTTGAACATGAAGACAATCAAAAGTGGAGGGAAGGGGTTCAGTGATGACGCCAATCTGCGTGAACAACAACAATATGAACACTGCCCGCTTTGGCTTGTTTGCCCCCATACATCGATGGTCGTTGCCGTTGATGTTCAACTCCTGACAGTACATATATTTGCGATCACAGCATCCACACACTGCATGCTTAACGCACCGTGCAGCGAAAGCAATGTTCCAGGCGTATACAGAGGCCTGTCTTGTTTTTGAGAAGAAAAAAGGAATGCTTGTCGCACCGCGATATGACCGTTGATAGATACAGCGGTTGTAAAGCTACCCCTAAACGATTCTGTAGTCTACAGCTAAAGAGACCTGCCCCGCTTATATTAGGTAGATTTTGGCTTCTTTTTCGCGGAGTCGCTTGTAGAGTTTTTCAGTCGCTTGTCGTGCTTTTCTACATTTTTTTCTGGCTCATTAAGCTTTTTCAGCAAATATTTTTCTTTTAGAGATAACCATGCTCAAAAAATGAAAGTTTGTCGTTTGATGGCTGAGTAGATGATTGCTAAGGTGTGCTCAAGTTTCCCATCAAGGGCCGGATGTCAGTTGCAGCACCCCCGTCCTCATAAGTCAATCTGCGGTGCAAATTTTGCGCCCCCCTTAATAAGCGACTGGAGGCGGACACGGAGGGGGGGGGGGGGGGCGCTCACGTGTGTACACCTATGGCTGAGTGTTGAAGTCGGTCAAGCATGCATCGGAGGAATCGACAAGTAACGTTAATCATGCACCTGCCAATGTCAGCCGAATGCAGGCTATCGCGGAGACAATGCTAAGAAGAAGCGACGCACTTTCGTTCATATCAACTCCCCTTATATAGCACTAACTGACAAAGAGATCACCTATCTGCGCAGTATAGCTTTCACACGCTCCTATGACAAAGCACGACCTTGGCTAAAAAAGTCCTTTCCCTCTCCTCCGTTTTTTTTGCCATTTCCAGATTCGTATGTATATGTGCACGGCAAAAATAAACACATTTGTTGGTAGTCGGCGCTAGTCCTGTTTTATCTGTCTCGTCGTTGTTCTCGCGCTGTTTTTTTTTATCAGGAATGCGCACCAACAAGCTCAAATTCACACGCTTCTCAATTTCGTTCGTAGTTGCGCACATTTGCACTGTGCAAATTTTGTTTAAAACATCATTGAAAATTTTCTCAAGAATGGGATAAACTTATTAAGCTTCCGCTTCATTTGGACTGTATTCACTGCTTTGCTTGGCAGCATATGGCAACACTGCCCACAGCCGGTACGAAACTACGCGTCTAACAGGTATCAAAGCGCTCGTTGCTCGTTTCTAATACACGACTGACATAGTACACTGGTGAACTACAGCTTCCGAAATAGCACGAGATGCCTCATGAGCCACGAATAAAGCGCCGAGGTGCCCTTTATTGTTATTTGAATTGCAGCTAACCAACATAGTGTTTCATAGCACGCAATAAAATTGCTAGCACATGGGTCTCTCGCTACCTGCAGACAACCGATCTGTGGATGCTTGTCTAAATAAATAAAAATGCTCTTAATGGGGGTAAAACCCGATTGGGTTGCACTGGTTCGGGCCACTCGTGGAACCCTAAGACTTCTGTCACAGAATACGGGGTTTCTGCGAAACCCAACTTGAGAATCCATGCAGTTGATGAACATGCGGCTTTAAGTTCTCAGTGGACCTTGTCCTTGACGGCTTGACCATCTATGCTGGCATCCTTCTTGTCACTGTAGGCCTTCAGGTAAAAGCGGATGAACATGACGAAGAAGAAGGCAGCCTGACTCAGCACGATGTATGTGTGCGTCCTCGGGTAGCCGCAGCTAATGAAGAGCGGCATCAGCGTGTGCAGGAAGATCATCACGAACTGTGCGAGCTGGAACAGGGTGAGGTAGCGCTTCCACCACAGGTGCTTCTTCACGGATGGACCAAGCAGCGAGAGGAAATAGTAGCTGTACATGATCACGTGCACGAAGCTGTTGAGGATGACGCCGAACGTGACGTGACCATCAGCCCCATAGGTGAGACCGAACCAGCCGTTGAAGACGACCAGGATGTGGTGGACGACGTGTAGGAAGGAGACGTGCGAGTACTTCTTTCGAAGCACGAAGAAGATCGTGTCCAGAAAGTCAGCTATCCTCACCATCACGTACCACCAGCAGAGCGCCAGAATGCTCATTGTGACCTCGTCGCGAGCCTCGTAGTTGATGCCCTGGCAGAGGAGGCTGTAGCCGCCGCCCAAGTACGACTTGGAGAGGAAGGCCACCACAAAGTAGCAGTTTAGGAGCACCATGGCCGCGTTGTAGAGGATGATTAGCGGCTTGATGTCATCGTACGGCTTGCGGTACTTCATGAACCAGGGCCCACCCACCTTGACGATGTAGATGTACGCCGCAAACAGGAAGATGATGAACTGTGTGTCGCCGGCCAGTGGCCAGTCTATGGTGCGGGGATCCCGTGTCAGGAACAGTTCGGTGGCCATCAGGCCATCACCCACGGTCACATTTGCTGTAGAAGCCATGCTTGCTTCGAGTCACTCCGGGGTGTCGACGAAATAGTCACTGGCTTTCGCTGCCGTTTAGGTC